TTAACCTGTGTCAGCAGTCCTACCTGGGGGCTCCGGTGCCGAGGTGAGTCTGTGGAGTGACGAGAGGCCTGAAAACCCGTAGACTGACCTCCAAGCCAAACCTCTCTCACTTGATTATTGCAGGGTTCCAGCTTCCTTCCAGTGGAAAGCCTTTACAAGTAAACAATAACGAACAAGCTTCTACTTCTTTCTTGTCACCATTGCTAGACAAATGTATATGGATCAGCAAGGAGACGAAAAATGCGTCCCTTTGAAGGTTTTCAACGCAAGGCTATTGTAATTTGTCCCACGGACGAGGATTTTAAAGAACGAGCATTAAAGCAAACCAATGAGCAGGGGAAGGATGTGCCCGATCATGCTGTGTTAGAAATGAAAGGTAGGAACGCTGTGGAAACAACCAATTTAAAAGTAAAAACAACAGATCTACTTTTTTTTTTTTTAACCTTTTTTAAGTGTCGTTTCTAAAATCAAACTTGGAAGATGTCCCCCTCCCCCCCTCCCCATCATAGCCTTTGGCCAGATATCAGACTTGGACATTTTTTATGCAGTTCACATAAATTTGATTGTTTTTGCCCTTTTTTCTGCCACTTTCCATTCCGCTTCCGACGCACTGCAACCCGACGCTTCGGCCCCGTCCTGCTTCTGTAACGTTGGACCCAAAGGCTCCGCAGAAAACGAGCGGCGGTTAATTTGTGACGCCGTGACGGGGGCCGTCCTCGGTTTGCAGTGCCGTTTTCTTTTATTTGACCTTTTTGTCCCCTCCTCCTCCCCGTCCTCTGTCTCCGTGAACAAAAGTTTCCTCCATGTCCCCTTGGAGGTGATGTTTGTTCCCTTTACCCTGCCATCTGCTTCCATTTTCTGCTCTTAGATTCTCTGATTTACGCCGCCCTTGTTTCGTAGTAACTGTCGTTCGTTTTGTCTTCCGGTGGTGTGGCCGCTCTGGTCTTCACTACAACCCCCCACCTTCCTCCCCCTCTCTGTCTCTGCCTCTCCCTCCGTCCCCGCTCGGATGGGATGTCCCCTTCACAAGCCAACTTCTCGCTCCCCGATCCCTGCGACTTCCTGGAGGACGTGACGTTCGTCGAGCTGCAGCGCGACGAGGCCACGAAGCTGCTGAAGGAGTACAACGAGGAGGGCAAGAAGGCCGGCCCACCCCCCGATAAGCGCTTCGACAACAGGCAGGGCGGCAGCTTCCGCGCTCGTGGCGGCAGCAATTTCCAGCGCTACGACAACCGTGACGGGTTCCGCGGGGGCTACCAGAACCGCAGCGGAGAAGGAGGCAGTGGATACCGAGGAGGTGAGCCCCTCCTGCAGAACGTTAACTTTTCCGTCTTTATTACGCCCAAAACTGTTTGCAGCTCCTGTCAACAGGCCTCATCAAGACCATTGACACTAAACTGTAGCTCTTTCTTTGGATTCGCTCAGTAGTTGACATGTTTTAACAGAAGCCATCATCAGTTTTACCGACAGTTTTCAAACTAAACAACCAAATCTGCTGAAAACAGACGGGCTTGAACCAGCGGTCGTGTTTTAAATGAATCTGACCACACGATCAGATGGGTGTACGCTGTCCTTTCTATTTCTACGTGCCTTCACTAGATGGCAGGCACATTATCCTTTGATCCCAAGATTTTATTATGTTTCCAAATAAAACGTTAAACATCTGAAAGGAAATGAAAAATAAGTCCTCGATCAGCTGTTTCCAGTGGATCTGGAAATCAGATTTCTGTTCTTCACTTGGTCGACTGTACAGGGTTTTTTCAGGGTTTATTTGTGTTGGGTTCTTCACTGCCGGTAAGTTTTTCATGTTAGATTTAGATTTTTTTTTCGTTTTTTATGGATTTTTTTTCCATATTTATAAACAATTTTTTGGCTGAGATATGACCGTTTCTAGTCGTTCTGACTTAAAATAAAAAGAGCAGTACCACTTTCAGCCACTTGATGGCAGCAGAGTAGTAATAGATGTATAGCATGCTGTTGTATCATGTAATAGGTAAACGTGGCTATAATGACAAATTCAAAAAAGTTCAAGACAAAAACAACTGGACTTTATTTATTATAATTTACTTTATACTTTGTTTTTCTCTTGAACTTTTTACAATGTACCATGTCCTGGAGGACTGAGGATCTTCACCAGCTTCTAAAGACTCAATCGGCCTGCCGTAGACCTCCTCACCTTCATTCTGCTCCCTGCTTGGAACCGTCACAACAGCTGCACCGCCCCGACGAAATGCAGCTGATTTGATCATTAAAGTACATTTATTAAGCAAACGTTAGACTGAGACACACATTTACCATCATTTCAAGCAAACAAATAACTGTTTTTAACTGTTAATCTTGTTAAATTCTTGTTGAAGTCGTCCCGTGCACGCTCCCGCTGCTGCCATTTGCCAGCCCATCGGTTTTTGGCACAACACCGGCCCACATGTCGGTGGTGACTCGTAACAAACGCGACACGGTGACGCATAATAGATGCGACGTATGCGGCGAAACATTTGTTTATCGCGGACTCGCTCTATCGCGGTTTTTCAAAATAAGATTGGACACGACACACAACTGGCTGATTGATGGATGAGCCGCACGATCGGCATGAAACTTTTATTTTAAATAAATAATTATAAATTATTTAGCACCTGCTGCACCTTTGTGCAGCCCACACTGCAGGATGAGCTTCCTGCTGCAGCTGATCAGCTGTTCCCCGTGCAGAGCAGAGAAGTGGGCGTGGCCAAGAGTGCTTGCAGGTGGCTGAGAGCAGCAGAGGGACCTCATGACCACTATTCCTTCTTCATGGGTTTTCACTTATCGTGGGGCTTCAGGGTACTGATCCCCCGCGATAAACGAGGGACTATTATTTGCGCTACGTTTTATCGTTTTTAATGTCAGATTTGGGGGGGGGTCGCGTTGGGTTTTTGCTGTCTCCCATATATCTGTAAACTCCTCCTGTCCTGCCCATAACTTCTGGTCTGCTCAAGATAATTAAACAAAACTTTATACACACGAGTGTTGCGTACACTTTTAATCACCCCAGCTCCAAGGTCACAAATCAAGGTCAAAGATTATTCGAGTTCATATCTTGTCCGGGCCGTTGCTGTAGATGGCTGTGTAAGTTAGTCGACAGGCGTACAACGCATATGCTGTAGTTGTTTTTTGCGTGTGTGTAGTAACGTGGTTGTGTTGTGCAGGCTACAACCGTGGTGGATACAACCAGAATCGATGGGGCAGCAGTTACCGTGATGGAGGCTCTGATAGCCGCGGCAGCTACAACCGCACCCAGCAGTCTAGTGGAAGCTACAGCCGCCCGTCCACGTACAACAAGGGGGGATACACTCAGGTACCGAACGTGACCTCCATCTGGAAGCTTTTAAGTATTTATAAACAGATTAAAGATTTAAAGTGACTTTTATTCGCTCTCCAGGGCTACAGCCAGAGCTACAGTCAGGGCAACTACAACCAGGCTGGCTACAACCAGAACTACTACGGCAGCTACAGTCAGTACCCGGGGTACAGCCAGAGCTACAGCCAGCCGGCGGTGGCCGGGCAGGCGTACAGCCAGCAGCAGCAGCAGCAGCAGCAGCCGCCGCCAGCTCAGCCCCCGGCCCAGCAGCAGCAGAGCTACAACCAGCAGTACCAGCAGGTGGGTCGGGATGGAACAGCCGTAACATGCGGGACCGTTGAGGTCGGACGGGGGTCAGAGATCGTTTCCGTCGTGTTGGACATTATCGGTCTGTGTCAGATGAGTTGACAAAGAAAAATCGTGCAGAGAAGGTGGGGACATTAAAATTCTGATCAAAATAACATTAAAAAAATTATTACAAAGGAAACCAAACAACATTTATCCATCCATCATCTTCTGCGTGTTCAGAAGTCAGGTGTTGGGGGCAGCATCTTGAGCAGGGAGGTCCAGACCTGCCTCTTCCAGCTCTTCTGGGAGGACTCCAGGTGTTCCCAGACCAATGAGAGACATAGTCTGTCCAGTGTGTCCTGGGCCTTCCTCGGGGTCTCCTCCCAGTTGGACATGCCTGAAGCACCTCCTTTAGGGAGGTGCCCAGGGAGCATCCTTACCAGAGTTCATGAGCAGAGGTGAGGGGAGGAACGTAGACCGACTTTTCTGACTGAGGACCATGCCCTCAGATTTGGAGGTGCTGTGAACCGCTCCGGTGAGAGCTGGAGATCACGGCACGATGGCGCCAGCAGGACCACATCATCTGCAAAAGAGCAGAGATGAATCCTGAGTCCACCGAACCGGACTCCCGACAGATAATTTGGTCGGCTGCGACGCGTCTACCGAAGAGTTTTATACTTTAAAGAATCAAACGTTTGCAACAAGCTGTAAGAATGAGCACGTTAGCATGTGAAATACGGGCAGCAGGCTCGCTAACGAAGCGAACACACACCTAATCAGTTTCATCATTTTATTATCTTCTAACTATAAAATCATTAATATCCGACATTATTTAAGCAGAAAAGTAATAAAATTTATTTTAGTAGCTTGAATGAGTTTTGTTTTCAGACCGACCAGCGCCCGATAAAAACCCGAGACCTCCGTGTTAAGAACTGGACCCGAGTGTTTGATCTCACGATGCTCTTCTTTCAGTATGCTCAGCAGTGGCAGCAGTACTACCAGAACCAGAACCAGTGGAACCAGTACTACAACCAGTACGGCGGCTACTCCGGACAGGGCAGCCAAGGCCCTCCAGGATCCCAGTAACTCCGCCCTGCGTCCTCCGGCGTCCCCACCTCCCGTCACCTTTGACCTCTGCAGTAAAATTATGATTTTAATTTTATTTTTTGGCCCCAGTCACAGCATCCCGTCTGTTTTTTTTCCTCTGCGGTCATCGTACACAGAAACTGTAAACAGTTTGACGTCTCCTCTTTGTCTCCGGAGCGAGGCGTGCGCTCGGCGTGCGCTCGGCGCCAAGCGAGAGGTGGTAGACGAAGAGTCCCAGAGCATTTGATGAATGGTTATGATTATGAATCGGGCGTGGACGTCTCCACGTTCTGACGCGGTAATTGTATGTTTTATGCTAAGTGAGGAGGTGAACGGGTAAAAAGTAAAGCCTGAGTAATTTAGCTTAACGAAGAACAAACTGCATGCGTTTTTACCTTCACGACCCGTTCCTCCGTCTCGTTCCTTTTCAGTGAGCGTTTTTTTATTTACCAGCTTTTTTATAGGCGAGTGCCGTCGTGATAAATTCAGTCTTTCGTCAAGAATAATCTTTTCCCCGCTCTTTGATTAGGTGTATTTGCAGGAGGGTTTTTTTTTTTAATCCATCCCATTTGTGATTACTGTTAGTCTTGTAGTTAAAAAAAAAAAACGTTTTTGTCAGGTTCAGTTTTTTTTACCTTAAATGAAAATCTGATTTTGACCAGTGACGCAAGTTGTCTTGTCTTTATACAATAAACACAGTTGTAAACACCTGTAAACGTGTGTAAACGTGTTTTTGTTTGTGTGTAAAGTCGAACAGAGCTCAGTTTGTCGCACTTCGTGCGTCGTTCTTTAATATCAACAAACAAAATCGAGCTGAAGGCAAATCTTAACGTGTGAATCGTTCCAGCGTCGTCCCGATGAACTGGAAATGAACTTGGAGGAGAAACGTCTTCGGCAGGAAATAAACATCTTGTTTGCTGCAGGGGGAGGTTTATTCTGTTCAACACGAGACGGAAAGCTATCAACGTTTTCTAAAGACGTGACCGTTCATCACATCTTAAAACGCCGCTTCATCAGGTCCACTGCTTGAACCGGAGTGCACAAACGGATGAAATGTTTTCTACAAGTACAAGTACCTTAATGAGAGTACTTGACGATGCGAGTACAAATGGACGCCATTACACGTCTTAAAACTGGTGCAACCAACAATTACTAATTCATTCCAAAGATGATTTGTAGGTTGAATTTTTATCCAATAACGAAAACGACTCATCCCAATTAACGATCAATTTCAGGACATCGGAGGCTCCGGTCCTAACAGGTGAAATATTAACGATGGACAAAGTTACCTGTTCAACGCTTTAGCCAAACGTTGGGGTGGGACTTGACCCAAAGACAACATTGCTATATGAACCCTCCTGCTACCCTTGGGTCAAAGTGACCTAAGAGGTGTTGGGTCTTTAACCCAAGGGCAGCAGGAGGGTCAAGCAGCTTTTCAGGCTAATTGAAGACCGGTAACCACAGTAGGTCGTATGAACTCCCCATTTATTCTTAGACTGGTGCACATCGATGCCAACCCACTGGTAACTGGACAGACCGCCAGCTCAAGCTCACTTTCCAACATGCAGACCTTTTTCGCCTCGGTGACGGATACTTTTCACCCTTTTTCAGGGGACTGGTCATATTTCTTGGACCTTGACGCTGATGCTCTTACCAGCTCACTGCTCGAGTGAAAGATGAACGTCACAAGATACTAATACGGGATCCTATAGCTAGTCAGCGGATCATAAAGTGTAGACGTGAAGATGGCTTGTCGAAGTCCAAACTGAGCTTAAGAACAGGAAATGAAGGATTCAGGTGTCAACATGGCGCGTTTGTTGGTCTGACATTTTACAACCATCGCTACATTTCACAGAGAATGGTCAGAAAGAGAAAATGTCCAGTAAACGGAGATTTTGGGGAGAAAACTTTCCTGGTGTCAACAATGGGTAGACTGGTTGGAGACGGAACGGCAGTGGGAGCTTAAAGAACCCCTGGTTGGAAGCAACGGTCTGCAGAACAATGTTGAAGCAGATGGACCAGAGCCAGAAACCTGGCCACGGCCATCATGGTTGGCTCAGAATGTGGCGTAAGCAAGAACGCTTGGGTCCGTGCTGCCTTGCGTCAACAGTTCAAGCTGCTGGTGGTGGAGGATGTTTTCGTGGCACCTCTGACCCCCCCAGTACCAACAGATCATCGCTCAAACTCCACAGACTGAGTACATACTGATGGCGACCTCCAGCAGGACTGGTCGCAGATCGTCCCAAACTGGTTCAGCACCTTAGAGATGGACCCGTAGATCACGGATGTTCAGCTGCCAAATCAATGTTTCCAGCACCTCGTTGAAGCTACGCCATGAAGGATTGATTAAATGATGTGAAAACAGAATCTGACCCGGTTCTACCTAAAGTGAGCGGTGGTGGTTTATTGTCGAAGGTTTCAGTGACTCAATCTAAAGACATGTTATTTAACAAATCAAAGCCAAATTTTTAGGACAAGTACTTTTCCAAATTCACGAATCAGTCGTCGTGTAGCTGCCGAAGTGAAGCTGGCCGAGGATTTAGCTGCTTTTAGTGTTGGTGTCCCGCCCTGTTCTCAAGATCAAGAAATATTTCTACGGTTTTCACAAGTCTCTGAACCTCAGCACCAGAAATCCAAGGCACATGTTCTAAAAAAACAACAACACAAATTCATAAATTACACAACAAAAATTCAACGTTTGAAGAATTAAAACAGCCAAACTAACAAGACCACTGACGATGAACTTTCAAACAGAGCTAGGGTTGAAACGCTTCGTTTCCAGCTGCAGTGAGGCGCCGCCATGGTTCCATCGAGCCGCCTGCTTTTCTTTGTTTTTGGTCCGAGGAGGAAGAGGAGCGGTCAGTCCGGCTCTCTGCTCTTGTCTTTGTGCAGGTGGAGCTCCTCCATCTTGTCCTGCAGGAAGGGAACGGGCATGGAGCACCCCCGGTTCCTGTGTGGCAGCGTGTTGGCCTGGAGCGACGACAGAGAAACCAACGGTCACGTGTTACATCGAGGTCGAAACCAGCAGCTCCACTAAAACCAGTACGGACACTTTTATGAAGAGAAATGGGTCACAAACGTGCGTGGACAGGTTCTCAAATGTACACATTTAAAATGCACAAGTAGGAATATTCTGCACACATGGTCAAATACACGTGCACAACTCACATGCAAAATTATAATTATTAATAATTTCTGGAATTTGTGTGTGAACTGCGTTTGAAACAAAATGGTTTGGTTATTTTTCCTCTGCAGCACGGTGGTGCAGTTGGTAGAGATGTTGCCTCTCAGTGAGAAGGTCACTGGTTCAAATCCCGGCTGGGGACCTTGGTGGAGTTTGCATGTTCTCTCCGTGCATGTGTGGGTTTTCTCCCAGTACTCTGGTTTCCTCCCACAGACCAAAAACATGCACGTTAGACTGACTGGTAACTCTAAATTGTCCTCAGGTGAGAGAGAGAGAGAGAATGGTTGTTTGTCTCTTTTGTCTCTATGTGTCCCTGTGATGGACTGGAGACCTGTCCAGGTGTCCCTGTGATGGACTGGAGACCTGTCCAGGTGTCCCTGTGATGGACTGGAGACCTGTCCAGGTGTCTCTGTGATGGACTGGAGACCTGTCCAGGTGTCCCTGTGATGGACTGGAGACCTGTCCAGGGTGTCCCTGTGATGGACTGGAGACCTGTCCAGGTGTCCCTGTGATGGACTGGAGACCTTGTCCAGGGTGTCCCTGTGATGGACTGGAGACCTTGTCCAGGGTGTCCCCTGCCCCTCACGCCGTGACTGTAGGACATGGGCACCCGCAACCCATAAAGGAAGAAGCTGTTAAAAGAAGATGGACGGACGGACGGATGGACGGACGGATATTCTTCCTCTTCAAAAACTAGTGGAAAAATTAATTTTACAGCATTTTCTTTCTCTGCTTAAAAAATGTAAAATATATTCTTCCGGTAGTTTTATCGTAAATAGATGTAAATTTTTTGGGCCTGTACCGCTGAAATAAACATCAAAGATTCTTCTTCTTGTGGACAAACTACAGGGAAAGTATGTTTTCCAGTAATAAATATTTATTTACTCATAGATTAATTTAACCATACAGTTCACAAAATTAAGTGTATGTGTTTTAACACGGTGGTTATGAGTTTAGTTACGTTTCAAACATATTTCCCAATGAGTCAGAACTGGTGACGCTCAGATGTCCCAGCTTTTCAGAAGCCTTGAACGCAGCATCACCTTCATGAATCTGGAGCAGTGAAAGTCTCAAAAGTCACAGGCAAGCTGGTCCGTGTGCAACAGGTGATTTGTGTTTAATAATTTGTACTCACAGATACTTGTGAATTTTGAAATGTGTACGTTTGAAAACCTGTTCCGGTATTTGTAAAACGCTCGTGGATCTCATGCACGTACAAATGTTGTTGAACGCCTGCGTGACTCCTATGCAGAATAATTTATTTTTATTCACATTTTGTCCTCAGGAACTTATTTGTTAGTTCAAATATGCAAGAAGAAAAAAAGTTTGATTCTTTGAGTCTAGTTCTGGAAACAAACAACTTCAAAACGTTTCTCTGAATCCAAAAGTTTTCAACGTGTTTGTCCAAAATGTTTAATTTAAACTTCCTTAAGATTCATTGATAAAATGCAGTTTTTCATCAACTTATTTTAAAGTTGTTTTCTTTTCAGTTACAATATTGGGGCCAGATGGAGATAGTCCAAGGGCCATTTTTGGCCCCCGGGCCATATGTTGCCCACGTCTGCTCTAATCTCTGTTTAATTGTATAAAACACACAAAAGTACTGCGTTCAATCATCGTTAACTCGATGAGCTGCACATCGTTTACTTTTATAAACTGTGTTTACAGTTCCAGGTGTTTTTATTGTTTTCTTAAATCCCTGACTATTTCATGTTAATGCTTTTAATAACCAATAAATGTTAATTAATTAGTAATTAATAAATGTTAATTAATTATGTATTTATTAATGTTAATTAATTTGTTAATTAATGTTAGCACATTAATGTTAACGCTATTAATAACCAATTAACATTAATTAGCAATTAATTTACATTAATTGATTATGTTAATTAGCAATTAATTTAATTAGTTAATTATTAATGCCAATCAATTTGTTAATGAATGTTTCATTTATTGAAGGACTTCTGGACCTTCTGCAGAACTCTGGTGTTTCCTCACCCTTCTCCCTGGAGACCCGTGGACCACTGAGTTCAGGTGGTTCCCCCTTCTGTCCTTCCTCTCAGGGGTCCACACTCCAGGGTCCGTCTGGGTCGAGCAGTCCTGCAGCTTCGGGTCGCCCGTGTTGTTCCTCCAAAGCGTCGTGCCGGTGTTGTGCTCCGTCTCGTTACTTTGAGGGAAAACAAAGGCCTCCTCCTCAGAACCTGTCAGAGAGCATCATCGTCAGACCGCTGTCACCGCGGTACCGGACCCGGCAAGATGGACAGGATACACACCCCAGCTGTTGCCCTTGGTTCTGGAGTCAGGGGCCGGGGTGCACGGGCACGACCCGGTTGTGTTTTTGTGTTTCTTCAGACACTCCCTCCTCACCAGATCTCGACAGTGTCGGTGACAGTTGATCCCGCAGTCTGAAGAGAAAAGGTGAAAACTTCAAAAACGTTTTATCAGAACTTTGGGTTCTGTTCGGTAAAATGAGACGAAGAAGGAAAAGTAGGAGACGGAAACTATTTTAAAACTTTATCTCTCTGTGAAGCCAAAGGTTAAATATTCATTTGATGCATAAAGCAGGCTCTGTCTTTGTCCTCACACTGTCCTCAGGGACACTGAAGACATGGTTGCTCCGGAAACCTGAAGACATTCAACATTTATTCACACTTGGACAAATGGTTCTAACTTCTTTTGAAGTCTCGTGTTACGGCGGCGTCTCACTGAGCTGACTGGTTACTGAACATGAAAGAGTCTCCAGATTGTCTCAAGATCGCTTCAGATCATCTTCAGATTGTCTCCAGATTGTCCCTAGTTTGTCTTGCAACTTTCACCAGGTTCTCACTTTCCTCAGAGGCGTCAGTTCTGTCACTTGACTTTAGAACATTTTTTTAAAAAATAGCAGGAATTACTTTTATTAAATCAGTACCAGAGCTGTTGGGAGTCTCAAATCCAAGTAAACATGAATCCATAATTCACTTTTTTTTTCTCACTTGCTCTTGTGCAAGGCGGACCCTTTTTCCTCCTCCTCCTCCTCCTGCTCTCCTGTCTCTGTCTGTGTATCAAAGCTCCTATTACGCATCTTCTGAAACTAAAACTACTGTCATGGATCTGGTCAGCTGGACTTTCAACGCAATAGTCAAAATCTTTTCAACAAAGTGACAGGGTCCTGGAGAGCCCTCATGCCCCGCTGAGACGCACGCAGCAGGATGCGTCATGGATCTGTGGGGAGTTTGGAAGCTGATGTGTCTTTCCGTTTTAGCTCAGGAGGACACTGGAGATGTTTATGTAATTGGAACCATGATAGCAGGGTTCTTGTTTTATGGCACTGGCGGATACCTGTGTTATTGGCTATTAAAGAAGACAGCGGCAGCAGTTTCAGTCATGGCAAAGCTGCCGAGTCTGTGTGAAGGTTTGGTTTGTGCTTCGAGTACTCAAAATCAGTTGATTTATGAGCTAAACCGTAATACGGAAATGATTTATGAGAATCATAGGCCACCTGCGGCTTCAGGGACTCACCAGCATGTTGGGGACGACCTTGGAGGGAGCTCATAAGCAGACCAATGGAATGCCCACAAATATGGCCATTTTGGCTCAAAAGTACCAACAGGACTCAAGGCTGATAAGATAAAAAAACAGTCTGCCTGAAAAAAAATCAACAATTGTGGCTTATCTGAATCTGACTCTCCTGTTTGGCCTCGAAGCAGGCTGACTTATCAAATTATTTCTGGGATATGTGTAAACTAATGAAAAGCTATGTCTATCTTAGTACGCTCGAGGAGATTGAAGCTACTTGTTGAAAAGTCATGACAAAAATGTTGGGGCAGCTGCGACCTCCACCTCTCTGGGCTCTCTTCCACCTGCTCCATACTCTTGGTACACATCACAGAGTCATCTGCAAAACATTCTGACTAAAAACGTCAATCTGGGTGAGGTTCTTTCGTTCTTCTTGTTGTCTTTAGTGGTTTCCTTCATCCTGTCTTTTGTACTTTTGTGTTTTCTTCCTGTTTCTATGTTGTTTCCTCTTTTGTTATCGAAAACACGTCAGGATTACTTAAAAGTTACACAAGGCTGAAACTTAGCTCTATTTGTGTAAATTTTATCTTTATTCCACCTTTCCACAAACGATTTGTACGAAATAAAAGATCTGATCGCACGAGAAGTTTGAAACAAGTAATTTATCACAGAAGTTGGGTTGTTGTTGTTAAAACGACTGTTGTTCTGTTTATTCAACCTAAATTCGGATGTTTATCGGACAGCATTGGCTAGAAGACAGTTAAACGGGTTGGTTTCAATGTGTTGCCTCAGTAACCTTTACAACACCCTGAATCTGAGGGATTTTCAGAGTAACCAGGACAGAAAACCCACAGATATTTGTTTCAGTGTGGTTCTGATGTGATCCTTACCTTTACAGTGGTAACCCTGTTTGATGACTCCCCACAGCTGCAGAAGGCCAAATGTGAGAATGTTATGCTTTAATTGATTATTTGTATAAAAACCAACAAAATGCATCACGAGCATTCGTTTACTCACGAAGCCTCCGCACGTGTCGCAGAACGTTGGCCTCTTGTACGTGGTTTCATGGAAGTTGTGCGTATTGTTGAAGTTGTAGCCCAGCTTGGCGCACACAGACATCCCCCTCATGAAGTAAGACGTGATTTCTTCACGGCTGATTTGTCCCTCCCTGAGGAGAAAATGTTTCAACGTTCCCAACTTGCTAAATTGTTCATTCAAACAATCCTGTTAAACAGAAAGCCCCAAAATTCAGCGAAAAACTGCTAATGTATCCATGGAAACATGATCTAATAACCTCAACCAAACTCAACTGTTTTTTCACCACAACGAACCAAAGCAACGCCCTCATTACTGAGAACAAGCCCCCGATCTGTGGATCCATCTCCCGCTCCATCCTACCATCACTCAAGAACACATCACCGAGCTACTTGAACTCCTCCACCTGAGGCAAAGACGCCCCCCCAAACCTGGAGGGGGCATCACACCCATTAAGAACCGAGGCCTCAGACTTCGAGCAGCTGGCTCATCCCAGACGCTTCACACACGACAGTGAACTGCCCCAATGGACACTAAAGGTCATGGCCTAAAGACACCAACAGAACCTCATCATCTGCATAAAGCAGAGATGAGACCCTGAGGTTTCCAAACCAGACACCCTCCTCTCCACAACTACACCTTAAGATCCTGGCCATGAAGACCACAAACAGGATAGGGGACAATGGACACCCTGGAAGAGTCCAACCTGTACTGAGAACAAGCTCAACTTTGTGCCAAGAATGTGGACACAGCAGAGAGCCCTTAAAATGAACCCAGACAACCCCATACTCCCATAACCCCCCACCCCCCAATGTCTCAGGGAACATGGCTATAAGCCTTCTCCAGGTCTTTAAAATACATTGACTGGAGAGTGAAACTGCTATGACCCCCTTAACAACTCTGTAAGGTTGAAAATCTGGTCCACTGGTCCAAGACCAGAAAACAGAACGCAACAGAAAACATCTGGATCTGCTTTGCCCACCATCACTTTGTTTAACGTCTCTGTGCTTTAGACATGTTCTACGCTGTCTTCTGTCGGAAGCCTCACCTGTCAGTTTCTTGAGTGCAGAAGGAAAAAGGGAAGTTGGCTGCAATTTTTTCAAAGTCCTCCAGTGAGATGTAGCCGTCCTGGTTCTGGTCGTAGTTCTTCATGACGGACTGCAAGGGGCAGCAGAGCGCGGTTGAAGGACAAGAAGGTAGTGAAAGCCAGGAGGCCACTGAGGAGTCGCGTAAACTCACATCTACCATCTGCTTGACGTGTTTGGATATGGTGTCCGAGTCGAGCCTGGGAGTGACCCCTGACCCCCACTCTGCCACGACCGGCGGTTTAACGGGAGTCGCAGGCTGTGGACCGACACATGCAGGGATGAGACACTGAGGACTGTGAGAAACAAGAAAAGAGCACACCCACCACATAACACACTTCCCTAACGTACAACCCTTTGATGTGGCTGACTTTGATGTATTTCAACTGCTTTTCACTCTTTAACGTGTCACACCCACAGAGCGCACGAAAGGCCCACGGTCGTGTGAAAACAGGTTCCAACGAGCGTGTTCGCATCAGATAACTCTCGTTTCATGATTCTGTACCTGAATCTTGGGGTTTTTGGGTTCCTTGGTGTATGAAAGTTCATATATCTCGTCCTCGGTGTAGTACAGGTCTAGAGAAAGCTGAAGTGTGGAGAAAAGAATCAGTCAGGTTGTTTTCAGTGGGAAGTTTTCACTCGATCTCTTTTGTTCCGGTATCGTACCGTGAGCAGATGCAGGAGGTCTTTGTTGGCCTCGAAGGGGGGCGTGCAGCTGTGAATGGCCAGCAGGTCGTTGATGTTGCTGTACAGGTGCTGCAGTTTGCTCAGGTTGATCTTCTCCTCGTCGATGTAGTCCGGCAGGGCCTCGTTGAGCGAGATCAGGTCCTTCAGGTGGACCCCCAGGATGGGCACCTTAAAGCCCTGGCACTCGCTGTAGACCCGCCGGTAGTTGCTGTAGTTGCTGCGTGAGGAGAGCAGTTCGGTGAACTCACTCAGGACCTGACGGAGGACAAAGAGCAAGAAACAGACGGTGATGATGCAACGAACAGCCCAACGTCTGAATGCATGTTATGGCACCAGAGCTTCAGACCACGTTGTGTTGAGACCAGACTGAGTTACAGCTGTTTCACTTAAATCTCACAAATAACAGTTGACTTCCATCATTTCTGTGGCCCAACCCTGACCCTGAATCAAAACTCCGTTCACACATCAGCTCTAAACCAAACCCGTCAACACAAAATTAATGTTTCACAAAATCAGGACCGGGCTTTGGTCCCCACAGGGATGACCAGTCCAGACAAGGTGGGGGATTCTACCAGAAAAGGTCCTAAAAGGTAACAAAAACCAGACCCCACGTGATGGGCGATAACGATAAATGATCAACACAAACTTGGAAATGGAAACAAACTGAGCACGCTCTGTAGACTTGAGATTTAAGCCCCTCCCCTCCATGTAAACTATGGAACTACAACATAAAAACTTCTTGTTTTCATTATCGACTAAATCTGATTTAAATCGTTCTTTGTGTTTGTTTCGTTTTGTCAAGTTGGTCTGCTATCCTACCTCAACAGTCTCCTACAGGAAAAACACATTTAAACTCGTAGTTAAAGCTAAAATAAACTTAAAGTCTTTTTAGACCTCTAAACACAACGATCAACAAAGAAAAAGAGGAAGCTGAATGACATCAGAGCGCCAAGGTCAGAAATGTCAGAGTGGAGAAAGAGGAGCGCTTCAAAGAAAGTGTTAACGTCGGACCTCTCAGGTGACTCTGGGTTTCGGTGTAATTGTGTAAATACCTTTGTGATGTCAGGAGGCAGCAGGTTGGACGTGTCTTTGAGGCGAGAGATGGAGCTGTGACAGAGACCTCCGGTGACGGCCATCAGCGTGTTGAAGTTCTGCAGCGCTCTCAGTTTCTACAGAAGAGAACAACGTGAAACAAAGTCGGGCTTCCTGAGCCGGACTGGTCCTGAACCGGGTCTACCTGAGCCACGTGGATGAACTTGGTGAAGACCTGGGCTCTCTGCTGGGCCGTGTGTCTGCTGAGGATCATCAGCTGGACCCACTGGGAGACTCCGTTACACATCATGACCGAACGCTCCAGGGCAGGGTTGTCCCGGACCGAACCTCGCACCACGTAGCTCCGGTAATCCAGGAACTGACGGAAACAGAAACCTCACCCTGTTAATAGGATTCACCAACAACATAGAGAATATTAACCCTCCTGCTGCTCTTGTGAGGCCTCAGATTTAACGCTGAGGCCTTGTCGATCATTTTGACCCAAGGGCAGCAGGAGGTTTTAGCTCCCCATCTTCAAACAAGGGATGTGGTTCCTGGACGTTAAGACACCACGTTGAAGCTTCTATTTGACTTTTTCATTTTTACACCAATGAAATACAAACTAAATCATGTTGCAGGAGATTTTACACACCAGCCCAGCAGCTGATATAATTTGGTTTTATTTTAAGCTTGACTTGTTTGTAGTCCAGGTAATTAATAGGTCTGGAGCCAGAGAACATCTGTAGGAGGTCATTTCCATCAGGGTGCCACAGAAGCTGATCTCTCATGGATGTTTCCCCGTTAGGAACAGAGCTGCGCTGTAGGCCTAATCAACAAGTGGCCTGTGGGCCAGAGACAGACCTTTAAACATTTCTTTGGCCCCCACAAAGCTGCCAACGTCTTGAACTGGTTTGTCTGAATATAATGCTAAAATATATTTATCAGAGCGACTTCCATACATCGAGTATAAGAGCTAGCAATCTTTGGTAGATCATGACGACAGAGAAGAAAGGGGTGGGTAAACGTACCCGTCTTCATTGACAGCCTAGCTTTCACAGGAATATCTGATACACCACTAAGTTTAAATCGTATCTCTCTGTCTCCAGAATGTCTACAGACTGTCACAACATCTTCTCCAAACTGTCTTAAGATCCTCTCCAGGTCGTCTCCAGATCGTCTCCACAGTGTTTGCAGATTGTCTCCATAATGTCTTGCAACTTTGACCAGGTTCTCACTTTTCTCAGAAAGTGGCCAGACTCAATTTATTCAACTCAAAACATTCTCATTGCAACCTTCCCACCCACTTTCTCTGGTGTACCCCAAAACTCTGTCCTTGGACCCCTCTAATTGATCATTGACTACATATTCTGTAAAATAACATTCAGTTTCATTGTTATGCAGATGATACACAGCTCTACCTTTCTACTAAACCCAAATCTTCTTTCTTTCCCACCTCCTTCTTTGTCTTCAACAAATTTGGTCCTGGTTGTCCAACAACTTTTGCAAACTTGACGGTGGCAAAACTGAAATCCTACTTGTTGGCACCAAACCCACCCCTAACAACTTCTCTGTTCACATTAACTCCTCGGTTTCAGAGTCTGGGTGTCATCCTTCAAAACAATAATGTCACTCGGACAGCAGACTTCAACTTGTAAAACATCTCCCACCTGCGACCCTCACTTACGTCCAAACACCATTAATATTCTGATCCATACTCTGGTCACATCTCGCCTCAATTATTGTAAAGCTCTTCTTTTTGATTTACCTACAAACTCCTCCATAAATTTCAGCTCGTTCAAAACTCTTCCATTTGCACAATCACCAGAACCTTCTCCATCGCCATCTTCTATCGCTTATCCCTGGTTGAGTCACAGAGCCAGGAGAGAAACCCAAACCTCCTTCACCCCAGCAACACTCTACAGTATCTCCTGGGGAACACTAAGGTGAGAAGATCCCTCAGCTGAGTTCTGGGTCTGCCCTGTGTCTGCCTTTCAGACACAGGGCAGACCTTCAAAAGGAGGCATTCAGATCAGATGAACCTCCTCAACTCACTCTTTTTGATGCAGAGGAGCAGCAGTTCTACTCCAAGCTCCCCCCAGATGACATAGCTCCTCACCCTATCTCTAAGGCGGATTCATTTCAACCTCTTGGATCTGGGATCTTGTTCTGTCAGTCCTGATTCAAACTTGTGACCACAGGTGAGGGTTGGAGCATAGACAGACCAGTAAATCCAGAGCTTTGCTTTTTGGACTTTTTCTCCACCACGACCACCCGGAGCAACACACTTATTACTGTGTAGTAGGCCCCGATCTGTTGATCCATCTCCCACTCGATCCTTCCATCACTCAGGAACAAGATGCCCAGATACTTCAGTCTCCTCTACTTGAGAAAAAGGTTATTTTGTGAAAAAATGGAGAGGTGTTCCAGATACTACGTTTTAAAAAAATGTTTTAATGACAGTTTCCATCATTTTAAATCTTACAGGCTTAATTTTTAAAAAATAATTATACATATGAAAAGCCTCATGCAGACGTTGACACAGTGAGCTATTATCTGAAACACATTTGGGAGTTTTCTGTAAAACTAAAGTGCATTTCAATACTGAGAACGTAGGCGGAGCCATGAATGGGAAAAGTTTATTTGGATCAATTTGGATGAAGCTAAAGGTCACGATTCAGCTGGGGAACGTTTTTTTTAAGGACGTACCGGAAAATCCAAACATCCAAACTCTTTTAAAACTTGTAAAAGTCTCATCTCTCCTGAGAGTTTCAGGAGTCGTTTTTATGAGCTGTCGCAGCTCGTTGACTTACAGAAACATTACAGAAGTTTTTAAACTCCAGGTAGCTGAGGTGCGCGGCCATCTCGTCTGGTTCCATGTGGTCAAAAATCAGAGACACCTTCCTCTTCTTCACAGAGGGCGAGGGAGCCTGGGACGCATTCACGTGAGGGCTTCTGGAGAACAAAACAGACCAGAGACGGGACAAATAGACGGTTGTTCTATTTATAGAAAAACGGACTGAGGATCTGCATCGACGAGCAAACGACAGTTCCTCAGGTCCATGGTGGTGACTCAAACCACAACATGACTCACAGGCAGGAGGTGTTGATGAGCTGCGAGTGCATCTTCTCTCCGTCCAGTCGGACCAGCTCACACAGGTCCCCCATGGTCTGCTCCAGGACGGGGTCCTCCTTAAAAACGCCCGCAAACTGACTCATCCACTGCCTTGGTCCCGGAGCAGAACACAAAACATGTTTACCACTCACAGGCAGAGCAGGGGAACCAGTTCCCTGACCAGATGTCCTTTCTCACCTAACAAGGTGGCAGATCTGGGTCCTCCTGAGTCCTCTCTTGTCAGGGGGACAGTCCTTGTAGGTGCAAGAAAGAGTCAAGGATCCGAACCCAAACAGTGTAGATCTGGGACAACTGAACACAAACTGGGATATTTACTTCAAATCTGCTTTGCAGGAGCTCCAAACAAAGCCATGCCTGTTCCCTGATCTGATTACTGGACCTGAACGTGAGACCAGGAGCCGGGCACCAGTGGGTCCCGAGCAGGTACGGGTCTACAAATAGCAGACCAGACCGCGGTCCGGATCTGGAACAGAATGAAGTGTTATCTGGACCCAGACTTTTTGTTTTGTAGAAAAAATAAAAAAGTTATTTTAAAAATGTATAATTTTTTTTAAAACTTGTTCATATTTTCTTGTATTTACAGTAATTTATTTTAGCGGGCGCAGCTTTTCTAGTATTTAAAGTAGTTTGTTTCATGTGGCTCAGCTTTTGTGCATCTTATCATAATTAATTTTAGGCAGGTCATTTTTTACAGAATTTACCGTAATTCAACAAAAAAGGTTAAATCGTGTCATCTGGACCAGTTTCTTCAAGTGAGAAACGTTTCGTCCCCCATCCAGAGGACTTCCTCAGTCTATGGCCTGCCAACCAGATCTGTCCCGTAGGTCGCCTTCACTGCTGTGTTTCAAGCTAAACCTCCTGTTGGAATCAAAAAAGGTTAAATCGTGTCATCTGGACCAGTTCCTTTAAATGAGAAACGTTTCGTCCTGAATTAGGGGACGGAGCGTTTCTCATTTAAAGGAACCGATCCAGATGACATGATTTAGTGTTTACCACATTTACAGTAATTCATTTTAGCAGGCGCAGCTTTTACAACATTTATGGTGACTCGTTTTACTTGGCACAGGTTTGGTACAATTGACAGTACTGTATTTTTTGGACTATAAGGCACACTTAAAAAAAACTCTTTAATTTTCTCAGAAATCGACAGTGAGCCTTGTGTATTAATTCTGGTTGTGCTCACTGACCTCGAACCGATTTTATGTGGTTACTGTGAATGAGTTTAATAAAGTTTGACTTATCTACTGTTTTGTTTCGCTTAATGCGCATTATACTCCGAAAAATGCGGTAATATTTTTCCTGCACTCACAATATTTCATTTGAGGTGATGCAGCTTTTCCGTAGTTTACGTTCATTAATTTGAGGTGGTGCACTTTCTATTGTTTACAGTAAGTCCCACATCTGACCAGCGGACTCAGAATCTGAGGGGTGCAGGTCTGAATGAACAACATGCCGAGTGAAGCAAACCAGCATGGTCGTCACTAAAACACAAAGTAAATACAAACTGTGTATTCTTTGCTTGGAAACATGTCTTTGAGGATCTTGATGAAGTAAAACTGAGCCTTCAAGGATATAGGGTGAGGAGTTTCTGGGCGAACGTCTGAGACGGGACTATCCAGCTGTGCATCATCAGGGTCATGTGGACCAACTGGGAACCTCTGGGGCTGGAGATCCTGCCTTCAGAGTCTGCAAATAATAATAATAAAAAGAAGTAAATAAATAAATAACAGCATTTATACAATAAGGAAAAACGGAAGGATGAACTGAAGGTTCTGGTTTCAAGTAGTTTCCTCAGAAATGACACCGACTACCTGAGATTCAAGTTCTGGAGAAGAAAGAAGAGTTCAAAGACAAAACATCAAAACCAATTCTCCTACTTTACATTATTCATGTCATGATGTTTGTAGAAATGTGAGCAGAAAGCCCAAAATTAGACACGAGTGTCCAAAATCAAGTGATAAAACTAGAAAACAAGGGAAAACTGAAACTACCATTTTCCTACTTTTGACTTTTATTTGTTTAGTTTCTTTTAGCGTTTACCATACATAGAAATATATTTATGGAATATATACGTATTTGTACATGCTTGAACTAAATACATTTATTACATGAAAATACAAACCCAGACCAACTTCTAAATTATGTATTTCAGCTATGAAAAGAGTTAAAATTTAGAAAACGGCAAAGTATTGTTATAACAGTTCTTATAGTTTCAATTATTTTTTACTGGAAAGTCAAAAATATTGTTGCACTTTTTCTTTTTTTTACTTGGTTGATCATCAATCCACTGATAAATATTTAACGCCACTTGGTTTATTGAAACATGCCCTTTTCAGGTTTGTAAACTATCTAACGAGCAGAACACAATGTGAGGCACGTCTTCCCTTCTAAACGTTGCCAAAGGGGTGCCCCAAGGCTTAGTATTAGGTCCAATTTTATTTTCAGTTCACGTCGATATTCTGTCTAGCGCTTTCCATCATTTTGTATGCAGATTATTATTTATTGCTGCTCATTTTTACTTATTAGGTCTTTTTTTGCTAGCTGCTTTTGATGTTATGCAAAAACTTAAACTGGTTATAAATGCTGATAAAACTAATCTCGTACAGTATTTTCTGATAAAAGAGAGCTACCAAGGATTATCCCACCAATTGTAACTTCTCAAAGGAAGTAGGATTAGGTCAGATTATCACATTGCTAATATGCTAACTAAACTTAATCTGAAACTATGTTTATATTAAATAAATAAATCCTGTTTTTTCCACCAGGAAGACCTTCATATCTGCTACCTTTATGTTCTTATTTGACTATGGTGATGTGCTGTACATGAGTGCCCCGTCCAAATGTCCCCAGTCCTTGGACCCAGTTCACCACAGTGTCCTGAGGTCTGTCAGTGGGTTTGGCCACCTCACTCATCCCTGTGAGCTGAACTCTCAATCCGTCTCGTCTTCTCTGAGTCCACATAGATATACACACTGGATGACTAATCTACAAGGCCCTACAGGACTTCCATCTTATTTAGGCAAAGTAATGCTTTACTCTCTAACGGTGGTGTCCTTCTGCCAGATCTTCGTGTCAGAACTGAATTAGAGAAGCGTGTTCAGCTTTGCTGCCCCCTCGATGTGAAACAACCTACAGGCTGATGTGAAACTGCCAAACCTCTCGTTTAGAACTTTTGCTCAATCCTTGAAGATACTGAGACATTTGAACGTCACCTTTATTTTTAACTGTTCGTTTTTAACCATTGCGTTGTTTTAAGTCGCCATTAAAATTGTTTTTATTCCATATTTATGTGCATAAAATAACCATTTTCTCTCATGTTGACACTTGTTTTGATCACAGTTTCATGACGTGCCGGTGACCTCTTGGCCAGGTCACTCTTGGAATAAAGATCTTGATCTCACTGGCTTTTTATCTGGTTAAATAAAGGTGATGGTGATGACAAACCTTTAATTTATTTGTAATAAGCCCAAGTGCATTGTACAGGTTTTACTGTCCATGAGGTTCTGGTGGACCTTAGAGAGGATCTGTTGTCTTAAAAAGGCTAAAACTAAAGACATCTTTCTCTGAAGGTATCTAGCATTTTTTTGGGATGAGGCTGATGAATCAGAGCAGAGAGGAGAGAGATCTGTAGAACGGCTCGGTTCTGCAGCCCGACAGAACAAAGGCCGATTGTCTCTTTCCCACCCCAGAGTCCCTCTTCAGTTATATAACCTGGTTAGACACGTCATGACAGAGTGCGTAAACGGGACGGACCGAAGCAGTTGAGACAGCGCTGGATGAGCTCGTCCAGACTGGGAGCGCTGGGGCTGGGAGCAGAGCTGGGGCTCTGCAGGGCCTTGCTGATGTCCTGAGGACTGGGACATGTGTTTCTCCTCCGCTGGACCAGCTTCTTGCTCTTCATCACTTCAGGACACTCCACATTGGACTTCCTGAGAGAGAAAGAGCAAAGGAAGTTAGAGAGGCAGACAATAAGTAGAGCAGCAGAGTACGGCGAGATAGAGCAGGTCAGCCCTGGAGGAAACGCAGCTCACCACATCTGATAAACCGTGAGCTGCGTCTCTGCAGCTCTGAGCAGAAAAACAACGAAAGCAGACTGACGGCACTTCAGCTGCACATGCTGCAGACTGCGTCGTAGCTGGAACTTTAGACAAAGGCAATTAAAGCTGTTGATGGAAGTCGCTTTAAATCGCTCACCAGTTCGGTCACGTTTTGTTTTTACTTTACATTTTTAACTTAAACACACCTCTGTCAGCGAGCTGCTTTAATATTCTTTTTCTACAGAAAAGTTAAGGTTTTAAAAATTCAAATCCTGATAATAAGATTAAAAAAAGTTTTAGCAAAGCTATGACATAGTTTGATGCTCCACAACCACCAGGCCAAAGGCCGGTACCGATCCTGAATCATTTTGTACCGGGACGCACAGAAATATTAAAGAAACTCATATGAACATTTTAAATACATTTGACTGCTAGGTATTTTATTTTAATGTATTTGTTTTTATGTACAGGCTAACTCTAGTAAACCCTAAAAGCTAACTCTAGCTGACCCTATGCATTTCTTTGTGTAAATCAACATTCTCCTGTACACGTTTATTGTGGAGAACTGTTTAAAACAATTAGTGGACTTGAATTTACCCAATTTAAATTTAGCAGAAGCTAATTCTGCTAAAAGTATCCATCCATTATCTTTGCCCACCTCTTCATTTTCGGGTCGCGGGGATCACTGGTGCCCATATCCAGCAGTCACTGTGCGAGAGGCGGGGGACACCCTGACAACAAGAGCCTGACCAATATATCGGAAGGCCCGATATTTTAGGCCGATAAAGGTGTTTGGGGACACATCAATATTGGTGACAATTGGCCCATTATGCGCTGATATAAATACTACTTTTCACCCCTAAATGCAGTGAATCAGCCATGTCCTTACTTGCAAATGATGTAATTGTACCGTGTGTCCAGCAGAGGGCGCATGCGGACTACTTTCAGGTCATGGCCATGTTGCACACTTGACTCACAGCACAGCTGAAGCAGGGAGCAATAGGC